CAGACACACACCTGTTCTCTCTGCTGCAGGTCAGACACACCTGTTCTACCTGCTGCAGATCATACACACACCTGTTCTCTCTGCTGCAGATCATACACACACCTGTTCTACCTGCTGCTGCTCAGACACACACCTGTTCTACCTGCTGCTGCTCAGACACACACCTGTTCTACCTGCTGTAGGTGACCTGTTGATCAGTAGTTCTTACACCTGTCTGTGTTTCAGACACAGCCTCTCTACCTGGCTCAGGTGATCTTCTTGATGCCTCAGAGTGGCTCCACCTCTTTCATGGAGAGGTTGGTCTTCAGCCTGTTTAACTACGGCTCTGACCGCAGAGAGGCATTCCTGCTGCTCCAGCTGTTCACAGAGGCGCTCCAATATGAGATCAGGTAACTTCCTGTCATGTCATAGTTTACCTGCTGGCTCTTTCTCACTCCTGAACACAGCTTGTGTTTGCTGAGGTCAGACTGAAGGTGACTCAGCCTCAGGATGTGGTCACAGGCAACCCCACCGTCTTCAAGATGCTGGTAAACTTTTACCGCCATGCCCGCGGTCACAACGCACTGCGAGACTTTCTGGGCCCTGCTCTGAAAGACATCCTGCTGGACCGTACTCTGATCACCAGAACCGACCCGGTGGAGGTCTATAAGGCCTGGATCAACCAGATCGAGACACAGACTGGACATAAGAGGTATGAACCACACCTCAAATGCTGTTAAAACCTGTGGGAGCCTGCAAACTCACCTGTCTGAACTTTCTCACCTGTCTGTTGTCTGTTTTTGTAGTCCTCTGCCCTACGACGTTTCTCCTGAGGACGCTTTGTCCCATCCTGAAGTCCAGAGACGAATCGACATCGCCATCCTAAACTTAAAGAACCTGACTGGTCGAGTTCTCAAGGCCATCACCTCCAACCTCAACAAACTCCCGTAGGTCCTCAGCTTGTACTGGCTGTTCCTTGAATAAAAATCATCCTACAAACACACACAAGTTGTTTTTGCCAAAAGTTGTCCAGTACAAAAGTTCTCTGGACATGCACCCAGACATACTGACACACTTTCACTTCCCCTAAGATAAACACATCCTTTCCAGGTCATTCTGACTCCAAAACCATTTCCATATATAACACTACATCTTGCTGGGGCTTTGTTATAAAACAGATTGCCCCACTCTTTTTAATAAAACTCTTAAATCCCACAATCCTCCTTGTTTGAGGAAATTCCTCAAATGAACTAATGCTGCCAAATTTTCTGACATATTTAGCGATACATAAATAAGTGAGTGTGAGATTAAATGATCCTTATACATGAATTTATATTGTGTTGTACGTTGTGATAAAATAATAAAGTAAAATAGTGGTGTTATTAATTTAGGTTCAATCAGTCCTCAATACCACTTATCCTTACCAGCGTCCTCCCCAAAGTTAACCTTTTAGCTTCTTAAATTTCAACATAGCTTCAGAAAAAGTTCAAAACATGATACAAATAAGCACTTGCAACATATTTTAGTTCTAAGATCCTCAACTTTGACTTCCTCAAAATCAATCATCTCATTCCCTCCATTGTGTAAAAGTGTCAAATAATTTAATTCTTACTGAAGTGCATACACTAATCATGTTGGTGACTATACTTCCTTAGACCATCATCTTTACACATCCAATAACTATCTGCTATAAACTGGGTCTAATCACTGCAAAGGTAAAGAGTGAGAATAGTCATAGTTAAATTTTCACAAGTTTAGCTTAAACCAGGGGTGCCCAAACTTTTTCCCTGAGATTGTCGAATTTAAAATCTATCAGAGGGCTGATGGCCAAATGCAATAATACATAAAATGCAAATAATTATTTAAGTACAGTCCATTTATTTATTATTGTTTATCCTTACATTCTGTATAGAGAACATTACAGAACTGGCTGCATTGGGGTCTGGGGGTCCTCCCCAGATAATTTTTTTATAAATTAGATGCCTTTTCCTGCATTCTGGTGTATTTTACAAAGCTTTATTACCGAAGATGAACACGAAACAAAAGATGTAAACTCTGTTATTGTTGAACTCTCTGACTGCAAAACTTTCTTAATGCAACAAGCTGCAGCTCTGCAGGTGAGAGGCGTTCACTTCAGGACAAACTGAGGTCGCTGACCAGTCAGTGGCTGACTGGTAGGGCATTAACAGAGTACTCGAGTAATCTACACATCGATTGCAAGGACATCTATCGAGGTTAAAAATGTAACGTCGAGTATCCATAGTTACGTCATAATATGTGACCACCGTATGACCGTAGGGGGCGGTGTTGCACTGTTGCAGGTCACAAAGTATGGTGTAACACCAGGTCCAATCCACAGAACCAGAACCAGTTTACTCTTGTTTCACAAACAAAAAGCAAACCTATAAAAAAATCTATAAACATATCAATCTCTAAAACTAAACCTAATGTGCACCACAGCTGGCGGTGGTGCGGGGTGGTCGACCCCCCCCCCCCCCACTGTTAAGTTTGGTTTCTGACGTGCTGCGTTTCTTCACGTTTGCAGTTTAATAATAAAAACTAATAGTTTAGTTTTTCCTGTGACTTATTTGCAGTATGATAAATGGGAGGAGCATAATATACACTCCCAATGTTTTGTTGGTCTTTTTTTTGTAAATAATGACCTTTTTTGCGGTTTTATTTATTTATTTATTTTTGTATCTTGAGATCTATGACGTCATCAAATACTTGAGTTCTACTCGGGTTTTATTATGTTAATGTTGAGTTTAAAAATTATATACTCGTTCAACCCCTACGACTGGTCAGCTGCTGACATGCCTACTGGATTGACTGACAGGTGGCTGGACTCGCGCAAAAATATCATAGATTTCACTGGCCTGTTTAAGACTGTCATTATTTATTTATTCCATAGTTATTCAATATTTTGATGAATCTAAGGTTAGAGAACTGTTTTTTTTTTTTACAAAATCCTAATGATGGTTTCTTTATTTTTTAGAGGTGCTGAGTTAAAATTTAGGGGGGTTTGACCCCACCCCCCACCCCCACCACCACCACCACCCCAAAAGAGGCTGAAATCACCACTGAAGCCAGTTCATATTTATAATTTACTTTTAAAAGCTTTATATGTGGTTTACAAGTGTATTAAGTTCAGGATCATTTCTTACCTTACTAGTTATTTATTAACCCACACCACAGTCAGGTGCTCCTCCTCCTTCTCCCTGCTCTGCACCGTGGGACAACAATTGCTGCTCTAAGTTTTTGGCCACACTTAGAAAAAGCTGCCTAGTATATAACACTTTGTCACTTCTTAGGAAAGAGTTGCTCTTAATCGTCCTGTTCAGTTCAGAGAAGCGTCCTGGTTGCTCCGACTTCGCTTCAAATACTCACAAAGAGCTTGATGAGCCGACATCAACGTCTGTTTGTGACAGTTCAGTGAAAGTTCAGATCACTCCTGCAGTGATTCAAATCGAGTCAACTTTATTTATAGAGCACATTTAAAACAACCTGTTATCAAAGTGCTTAACAACAACAACAACAACAACAACAACAACAACAACAATCAATGAGAGTAAAATTAAAGAGGAAAAAAAATTATATATATATATTTATATGTATATATATATATATATATATATATATATATATATATGTGTGTATATATATATATGTGTGTATATATATATATGTGTGTATATATATATAT